TTTTTTTCCTTAACTTTTAAAACTTTTTTGGTCAAAACTAATACAAATACACATATTAGCCTAGGGCTATATAGGGCTGGTATCAACATCACTGTCTTCCACCTCCACATCTTGTTGTACTAGATAGAAGGTCTTCAGGGGCAATAACACACACAGAGCTGTTATCTCCCTAATAACAATGTCTTCTGGAATATCTGCTGAAAGACCTACCTCCGGCTGTTACAGACAACTTTCTTTTTTTAAATAAAAAATAAAACACTTTTTTAAAAATGACAAGGTCGGGGGCGATGGCTCATGCCTATAATCCCAGTACTTTGGGAGGCTGAGGTGAGAGGATTGCCTGAGTCCATGGGTTCGAGACCAGCCTGGTCAACTTGGTGAGACCTCATCTCTACAATAAATCAATCAATAAATTAAAATAATAAAAATGTAAAATGACAAAAATAGGCCAAGCATGGTGACTCACACCTGGAATTCCAGCATTTTGGGAAGCCAAGGCAAGAAGACTGCCTGAGCCTGGGAGTTCTAGACCAGCCTAGGCAACATTGCAAGACCTCACCTCTACAAAAAAGTCAAAAAATTAGCTGGGCATGGTGGCATGCACCTGTAGTCCCAGCTACTCAGGAAGGTGAGGCAGAAGGATTGCCTGAGCCCAGGAGGTCAAGGCTATGGTGAGCCATGGTCATGTCACTGCATTCCAACCTGGGTGACAGAGCACGAGTCCGACTAAAAAACAATAACAACAAAAATATAGTAAATACATAAACCAGCAGCATAGTCACTTATTTATCAAGTACCATGTACTATATATAATTGTGTGCGCTATCCTTTTATATGATTGTCAGCACAGTAGGTTTGTTTACACCAGCATAACCACAAACACGGAAGAAATGCATTGACCTAGGATCTTACGATGGCTGCCATAGTCTAGGTCAGTGGTCCCCAGCCTTTGCGGCATCAGAGAGCAGTCTTGTGGAAGGCAATTTTCCCACAAACCAGAGAGGATGGTTTTGGGATGATTCAAGCACATTATATTTATTGTGTACTTTATTTCTGTTACTACATGGTAACATATAATGAAATATGTAGCATCACTGCCTCAGCTCCACCTCAGATCATCAGCGTGCAACCTAAATCCCTCACACACACGGTTCACAATAGGGTTCACACTCTCATGAGAATCTAACACCACCACTGATCTGACAGAAGACATAGCTCAAGCAGTAATGCAAGTGATGGGAGTGGTTGAAAATACAGATGAAGCTTCACTAATTCACCCGTCACTCACCTTCTGCTTTGCAGCACAGTTCCTAACAGGCCACAAACAGGTACCAACCTGTGGCCTGAGGGTTGGGACCCTTGGTCTAGGTGATAGAAATTTTTCAGTTCCATTATAATCTTATTGGATCACCATCTATATGCAGTCCAGTGTGGACTAATACTTTGTAATACAGCACATGATTGTACCGTATCTTGGCTACAGTAGACTCCTAATGCACTAGGCATACACTGTCTTATCTGTTGTCTCTTGTTCCCCTTCTTTTTTTTTTTGTTTTTTTGAGTTAGAGTCTCACTCTTGTCGCCACTGCAGCCTCGACCTGCTGGGCTGTGATCCTTACACCTCAGCTTTCCAAGTAGCTGAACTACAGGCGCACACCACCACGCCTGGCTAGTTTTTGCGATTTATTGTAGAGACAAGGTCTTACCAAGTTGCCCAGGCTAAACTCGAATCCCCGGGCTCAGGCATTCCTCTTGCCTTGGCCTCCCATAGTGCTGGGATTATAGGCTAAGCCACCCCGCCTGGCCTCCCTTTCCATTTCTGTCTTTCTGCATCTTAGGACACCATCTCAAGTTGGCCCTCCACATAATGGCTGTGTATTATACCCTATTTTATATACTGTATATCTAATATTATACAGTTTAGACAGCATACTATTTGTTCTGCTCTTCACTTCCATACATTCCTGATTTAATTCTAAAGTTTAAGTTTTGCTTCTTTCAAAATCTTTTTCTGTAGTTTTAGCTAGCTTTTTCTACCTCACACATTCATTCTCATTATTTACTTCGAAAAAAATCAAGGGTCCTTGATGTTTTTTGGAGTCAGAGTCTCACTCTGTCTCCCAGGCTGGAGTACAGTGGCACACAAACAGCCACCGCAGCCTTGACCTGCTGGGCTCAGGCGATCCTTTTACCTCAGCCTTCCAAGTAGCTGGAATTACAGGCATGTGCAATTATGCCCACCTAATTTTTTGATTTGTTGTAAAGACAAGGTCTCGCCATGTTGCCCAGGCTGGTCTTGAACCCGTGGGCTCAGGCAATCCTTCTTGCCTCTGCCTCTCAAAGTGCTGGGATTACAAGGCATAAGTCAGTGCGCCCAGGCGGTCCCTGGTTTGATTAAAATAGCTGTTTCCTACAGTCATGTTTTTCAAAAGAATGCTCTTCCTCTGTATTTTTCATTCTGTTTCTAGCCTCCCTATTGCTAGTTCTCTTCAGGTACTCCCCTTTGAATGGGAAACCTATCTAGGCCTGACGTTCACCTATAGAAGGCTGTGAGTTTGCTCTGGCTCTCCTCAAAGTCCATTGCTCTCTAGCCCTGCAACTCACACACTCCCACTGTCAACAATAACGGTTGTCTACACATACACCCTTAGTCAAGCTTCTGATAGCCTAGGTTTTTATTTTATTTTTTCCTAAGAGACAGGGTCTCACCATGTTGCCTGGTTAGGTTTCAACCTCCTGGGTTCAAGTGAACCTTCCATCTTAAGCCTCTCAAGTATATGGGACTATAGGCACAGGCCACCACACCGGGCTTGGTATCCTGGTTTTTGACATGGCTCTGCTGCAATGATGGCCAGCCTCATGCACCTGCACATCCTGCACATCCTGCACCTGCTGCCTGCTTCTCACCACGAGGTTTATTCCTGGACAATGGGAAGCAATTGTGATTCTTTCTTTACCAAAATTAGGCAAAGCTACAGTGTCCAGAGTTATCTACTTTCATGGTTTTCCCAAGATTATTCCCGATTAAAAAAAAAGCCGGGCTCGGTGGCTCAGCCTGTAATCCCACGCCTTTGGGAGGCTGAGGTGAGTGAATTGCCTGAGCCCGTGGGTTCGAGACCCACCTGGACAGCGAGACCTCATCTCTACAATAAATAAAAAAATCAGCCAGGCGTGGTGGTGCATGCCTGTAATTCCGGCTATTCGGAAGGCTGAGGCGGGAGTATCACCGGAGCCCGGCAGGCCGAGGCTGCGGTGGCCGGGAGCGGTCACTGCACTCCAGTCTGGGCGACAGAGTGAGACTCCAACTCAAAAAAAAAAAAAAAAAAAAAATTCTTCCACTGACCACAGCTGAGATGATGGTTCTCAAATTAGCAGGAGGAAGTCCTGAGAAGGAATGAAGAACAGGAATGTCAACTGCTCCCAGAACAGCTCTGGTTGTTCCTTCTTCACTGCGCCCCACTCTATTTCTTTGAGGGGGGGAACAGGTTTGCGAACACGGAAACGCCACCCTACATGGTTGTTCAAAAGTATTTTTATACCGTTATTCCCACAAGAACCCAACAAAGTAAACTGAATCATCCTAATTAAGCAGATGAAAAACTGAAACCCAAGGGAAGTAGCATTTACATTAATGCATTAAATTTTCATAACCACCCAGTGAATAAAGTATTGTCTCCAGAATTATCTGCAGTTTATGGATAAGAAAAATGGTTCCCAAGGAGCTTTAAGGCATCTGTCCAAAGTCACTTGGCCTGTTATGCTGACTCAGATTAGGCTCTCCCAAGACCACTCTTCCTTACTTACCACACTAGCCCTGAGCAGAGGAGGGGCTCTAGTTCCAGCTGGGACCAAGTCCCAGGTCTTTCGACATAACCTTGGCACATTTCTGAACGGATGCAATCTTTCTGCAACAAGAAAAATGCTTACATGTCTACCATCAGTATATGTTCATATATTACCATGCATGAGACTTTCAAAACATATACAGAGGAAAACAAGTTTACTCAGGAAGGAGCTAAAAAACAGTCTCTCTCCTTACCCCACTTTCAACCACCTCCAAGAACAATAAACTAGATCTAGAAAATATAAATGGGTCCCGCGCCTTTGGGAGGCTGAGGTGAGTGGATTGCCTGAGCCCGTGGGTTCGAGACCCGCCTGGGCAGCGAGACCTCATCTCTACAATAAATCAAAAAATCAGCCGGGCATGGTAGCGCATGCCTGTAATTTCGGTTACTCAGAAGGCTGAGGCGGAAGGATCGCCTTTCCGCCGGAGCCCAACAGGCGAGGCTGCGGTGGCCGGGAGCGGCCACTGCACTCCAGTCTGGGCAACTGAGTGAGACTCCAACTCAAAAAAAAAAAAAAACCCCAAAAAAATAAAATATAAATGGGTAGGTTGTCTACATCTGTAACATATAAATGATTCAGTAACTAAAAAGAGGGAAAAGCAAACAGAGGAGATAGGAAGCATTTCTCATCTCCGCCGTTTTAAAATTTATTTTCCAGTTTAGCATGTGGTTTTGCAAAGCAGTGTGGCTACTTTGGGTTCATGATTCAATTCATATTCCTAATAATAGCACTTTGCTGTAATAACTGTTGGTATTCAATATACCAAACAGTGCAAGAGAGTCTGGAAAAGTCTGCATGAAGAGGACATCTACCAGATATTACTAAAAAGTGAGAACATAAAAATCTACTTTGTTTTCATTTTGAGCAATATGTAACTTTGTTACCTTGTCACCAATTTTTTTCTGCAAAAGAAAAAATGTACAATTTCTAAAATATCCAGAAACTTTCCACATTTCACAACAGGGCAACGAATATTTACATCTAATGTACTATGCCATATTAATGCAACCTACTGACATCTGTAGTTTTTCAAAAATTTAACTATAGTATCTTAAAATATTAAATAAAACAATACTCCCACCTAGTGGGTAAGAGGAAAATGGCTTATTTTAGTTGTGAACAATACTACCATAAATAAAGAACTAACACTACAATTCATTTTTTACAAGTTTATTCTTTTTTATTGTCCTCAAAATATACCCCCACTCCCAAAAGAAATAACCTACAAAACAGTACATACTGCTCCCCTCAAAAGAATGGATAATATACGTTACAAAACAATCTTTTGGATTATGTATAAATGTTACTCTGAACCTCATTTGTAGTCATCAATTTCTTCAGTATCTCTGTGCTCTGGGGAATATTCTGGAAGGAGAGAAAAATGTTAAGAATACAGTGAGACCAAGAATTCAGGTATGGGCAACATGCACCCCAATGTCCCATACTCTTGGGACTTGAAGAAGACGGGACGGTACCATGAGGCAGATGTGGCCCTTGTTCTCTTCCAAACCAAAAGGCAAGCAGGTCAAACACCACAGTATGCCTTTACTCTACCCAAAACTCTGATGGCCTCCTGGCCTCTGGAGGAGGCCTTCCAATGTGATCTCTTCCTCTTTCCTCTCCCTAGTCCAATACTTTCACCACTCTCCTCACACCTCCCCACAATATGCTCACACTGCTTCCCCCCATACATTTTGGCCCACTAAGGCTCACTCATCTTTCAGCTCCAGTTAAGCTGCCATCCACTCCGAGAAGCCCTTTCTCAGGTTAGCCATTCACTCTGCCTGGCTGTGTGCAACATGGTACTGCACTCCATGTGCCCAGCACCACGGTCACCTGCACCAACTCATAGCTCGGGAGCTGACTCAGTTCTGGGGACCCAGCAGGAGGTATTCAAAACAATCCTACCTTATTGAATAATAACACTTCTAAATTAAGAGAAACGATGAACTGACTCAAGATGATGTATTTGGTCATTAAGAAAACAGCATTCTCAGGCACAGTGGTGTGCTCCCAGCTGCTTAGGAGGCTGAGGTGGGAGAATCATCTGAGCCTAGAAGGTTGAGGCTGCAGTGAGCCATAACCATGCCACTGCACTCCAGCCTGGGTGACAGAGATCACAACTCAAAAAAACAAAAACAGGCCAGGCACGGTGGCTCATGCCTATAATCCCAGCACTTTGGGAGGCCAAGGTGAGACGATTGCCTGAGCCCATGGGTTCGAGACCACCCTGGGCAACTTGGCAAGATATCATCTCTACAATAAATCAAAAAATTAGCCGGGCATCGTGGTGCATGCCTGTCGTTCCAGCCAAGCAGAAGGCTGAGGCACTAGGATCACCTGAGCCCAGCAGGTCGAAGCTGTGGTGGCCACTGAGTGTACCACTGCATTCCAGCCTGGGTGAGAAAGTGACATTCCAACTCAAAAACAAAAACAAGAGAACAACATTCTACAGAACAACTCTCCCACTAATCATTATCCTCAAAGCAAGAAATGAAATGGTTAAAAATAAATTTCTGCTTCAAAGGGTGTTCATTCATAAAAGCTGAGCATTTCTTTAAGCCATATATAATAGATGATATACGAGTTTCTTTAAGTCCTATATAACATGATATGATACACAAGTCCAAACATTTATGAAGCACCTGAGGGCTGAGCAGTCCTATAGCAGTGAATAAAACTGACCTGGTACCTGCCCTTGGAGAAATGACACCTAGGTTAAGTGGTATGAATCCATTAGCTAACTACATAAGCAAACTATCAGCATATACTTTGAAAGGAATGCTCAACATAAAATAATTCAGTTTGTCAGAAAGATTATCCCTGGCTCAGTTAATTTGAAAGATATGCTTGAAGTATACTAAATTAAAGAGTTTTATGGCTTAACCCTTCAACAAATGGTTATTGAGGGTTTTTTCTAGGTGGCAGGCATGTGATGAAGCTGAGATACTTTAAAAAAAAAAAATCACCGGGTTCAGTGGCTCAGCCTGGGAAGCTGAGGTGAGTGGATTGCCTGAGCCCGCGGGTTCGAGACCCGCCTAGGCAACTTGGCGAGACCTCATCTCTACAATAAATCAAAAAAATTAGCTGGGCGTGGTAGCGCATGCCTGTAATTCCGGCTGAGGCGGAAGGATCGCTGGAAGGCTGATCCTCGGAAGGCTGAGGCGGAAGGATCGCCGGAGCCCAGCAGGTCGAGGCTGCGGTGGCCGGGAGCGGCCACTGCACTCCAGTCTGAGTGATAGAGTGAGACTCCAACTCAAAAAAAAAAAAAAGAAAAAAATCATGGTCCACAAAGAGCCAACAATCTAGTAGGAAACTAATTTACAAGACCTGTGAAATGAGACAACTCCAATAAAACTTAACAAAAAAGTCTTCATAGCATTAATGGCCATTCCCTGTTTCATTCTGTGGAATCATGTTGTTAAAACCTCTTTTCTTTAAAGAAGTAGTCCTGGCCAGGCACGGTGGCTCATGCCTGTAACCCCAGTATTTTGGCAGGCTGAGTCGGAAGGAATGCTTGAGCCCAGGAGTTCCAGACATAGTGGAGATCTCCACAAAAAGTTAAAAAATTGGGAGGGAGGAACACACCTCATCAACAAGGGTACCTGCATAGTGAACATTTGTATACCTAACCCTGAATTGTACCCCACATCTTTAAAATAAAAAAAGTTAAAAAAAATTTTTTAATTAGCCAGGCATGGTGGCACACGCCAATAGTCCCAGCTACTTAGGAGGCTGAGGCAGAAGGATCATGTGAGCCCAGGAGTGCAAGGCTGTGATGAGCCGTGATCGAGTCACTGCACTACAGCCTAGGCAACAGAGTGAGACTCTTTGACTCTAAAATAAATAAATAAATAAAGTCCTTAAACTGGGGGCAAAGGACTTCCAGAAAATCTCTTAGAGAAAGTAGCAGGGTCCCTAAAGACCTAAAATTACAGGCAAACATATTTGTGCATGTGCTCAAATTTTTCTAGAAAAGGAGCCCGCAGAAATGAACTGAGGGCAGGAAACAGGTTCATTATATCATTTTCTCATCTTTACATGTCTAGTCCCCTGTAAAATTCAGTAATTAAATGTTATAGTAATTTGATCAATACTACACTCAAAAATACCTTTTCAATAATTATAACATTCCAAATTAGAGAAACTTCTTGAATATAAAACCATCTGTCCAGAGACATGAGATTTCATTGTATTGCATTAATCCATTATATAAGAACAAAGTATTCATCAATTTATAGAGGTATATATACAAGAGAGGGTGACAAATTCAAACTGCCAGATAAGGACACATCACTTTGAGAAGGATCTCCACATGATGCTTAGAATTTAAGTTCACACCATACATATATATTTGTCATTAGGTTCATTGTACTAACTCAGCTAGTAACTTAAATGAGTTCAAACCTTACCTTAACCAAACTTTTCAAGCTTCTGGAAGAAAGTATAGGCTTAAAAGCTTCAACTGTAATTAGATCTAGTTTCATCACATCAGTGTAACACAAGTACAGTATTGCAGGGATTTTCCAAACTTGACAGTAACTCAGAACTATGAATATACAAGAACAAAAACTAAGTTTTCTATTATATGATTTTTAAATTAAATACCTTTAAATAAAAGACTGCTTTTAAAAAGTCATCTCTGTTGCTTCTTTTAATCAAGGCATTTCCTGCCATTTTGAACCAATTATAATAAATGTAGTTTCTTTCAAAGTCAACTTATTTTCTAAATAATCTTCTGCTTTTACAAATATTATATTTGTTTTACATACTGAACATACTGCTGAGATAGTTTTAAGCAGCTGAAAGATTAAAATCTTACAGACTATAATAAAAAAAGTAAATATATGTAAGTAACAAATAAGAGCATAATGCATAATGTGAAATATTTATCCATTTCTCACTCTAGAAACTTAACATTAAAGGCAAAAAAAAAGTTCTTTTGACTTTAATACAAATCATTTAACAAATAACAAGTAATTACATAACACTAACCACTGAAAAGTAAATGGCAATTTATTCCTCACATGATAGCAGGATACAAGTAGTGACAATAATAAAAAAAAATACTAAAGCAACAATCAAGATTTAATATTTAAAGTTTTATATTTTGATAATTAAAACATACTTTACCAACTTTTCATACCAACATTTATATTGAACTCTGGCTTGCATTTTAAGTTATCAAAGACAAAAAAGAAAACAACGCAACTCTGAAGTGTAATAAATCCACCAGGTATAGTACCTCACATCTGTAATCCAGCAATTTGGGAGGCCAAGGTGGAAGGATTGCTTGAGCCCAGAAGTTCAAGACCAGCCTGGGCAACATAGCAAGACCTCATCTCCCAAAAAACATTTTAAAAGTACCTGGATGTAGTATTAGCACACACTTGGAGTCTCAGTTATTCAGGAGGTTGAAGCAAAAGGATCACCTGAGCCCAGGAGATTGATGCTGCGGTACATGACTGTACCACCACACTCCAGTCTGGGCAGCAGAGTAAGACTCCAACTCAAAATAAATTTAAAAAAAGGAAAAGAAATCTAAGTTGCTCTCTTGACTGTGTGTCTGGAAAATTTTAAAACTCAAACCAAATATACTGACTGTATTTGTTAACTACTGACATTGAATATTAATAGAAATATATTGCTATCAATCAACATTAACCACCTCAAAAGATCTCCATAGTGAAAGTAACAAGTCTTAATAAAGCAATAACGGTATATAACACAAAGTTATAAATTTTAATACCACCTGCTGCAGGAAGATCATGTACTATGTTCGGTTGTTCCAGCAGTGAACAACACGCAGGGTCTTTGAAATTCTGTGTTTTTAGTGCTTTCAGGAAAGGAGCAGGAAGGCTACCAGTAGATTCTGAGGTTTTATAGTCGGTAACATGCCGACATGTGAGAATGGTTACTTGCGTGTTCTTCCTTGTGCAAGAGCCAAAAACCTAACACAAAATTGATTTCAAATTAAAAAAAAAATAACAAAACACATAATTTTGTCACAGAATGGAAATGTTCTTCTAATTATTCATCCAGCACTACAGCAGTAACACCATGCCTTGCTGGGGTGGGAATGTGCCTTTGCTGTTCTGACCTGGGTTTGACCTCGGTTCTACTTTCTAGGTGGGCAACCTTACCCAAGTAACTTTCCTCATCTGTGAACTAAGGTCAGTACTACTTACCTAAGGCGCCTGTGATGTTGAGTAAATGAGATCACAAATAAAGAGCACCAGAATAGTAACTACAGGACTATTGTTCAGAGAAAACGAGTCACAAGCACAGGCCCAATATTCATCCCCTCTCTATTCACCAAAGTTGCTCAGAAAATAATTCTTATGAAACTTTTTGAGTTACTACAATTATAGGCAAGTTTCAATCAATCGAGACCTCAATGTCTTCTATAATCTGAAGAGTCTGGATGTGATAGATTTCCAAGAACCCTTCTACCTTCTAATAAAATCTAAGGTGATTTAAACAAAGAAAGCAGTTATTTTTTTTTTTAAACTAGATTTTAGGTTACTGCACCTTGTTTGAAAATATTTTATTTGAAGAAAGTAGCTATTTCCAGTAATAACAACAGAACTGATGATTTTATATTAAGTGCCATTAATGATTTATAAGACTAATTTCCATTATATCATAACTTTGTAAATAAATACAAAAAGTTAACATGATATTTGTTACCAAGTAAACCCATTTAAGAAAATAAATTATTCGTAGCCGGGCTCGGTGGCTCAGCCTGTAATCTCGCACCTTTGGGAGGCTGAGGTGAGTGGATTGCCTGAGCCCACGGGTTCGAGACCCGCCTGGGCAGCGAGACCTCATCTCTACAATAAATCAAAAAATCAGCCAGGTGTGGTAGCGCATGCCTGTAATTCAGGCTACTTGGAAGGCTGAGGCGGAAGGATCGCCGAAGCCCAGCAGGTCGAGGCTGCAGTGGCCGGGAGTGGCCACTGCACTCCAGTCTGGGTGACAGAGTGAGACTCCAAGTCAAAAAAAAAAAAAAAATTATTTGTAAGGCCTAATTTATTTTCCACTTTATAAAACTTACAGTCTAATCCCACAATACTTGAGAACTCTGTTAGACTATGTGTAAGTATCAGGATTATGTGGCTGTCGTGACCAAAACAACAGGGCCACCCAAAGAATACTCCTAAATTTAAAAATGTTGATTAAAATATTTTGTTTTGGGCTGTGCTTGGTGCCTCGGCCTGTCATCCCACGCTTTGGGAGGCCAAGGTGAGTGGATTGCCTGAGACCGCAGGTTCGAGACCCACCTTGGCAACTTGATGAGACCTCATCTCTACAATAAATCAAAAATCAGCCGGGTGTGGTAGCACGTGACTGTAATTCCGGCTACTCGGAAGGCTGAGGTGGAAGGATCACGGGAGCCCAGCGGGTGGAGGCTGTGGTGGCCGGAAGCGGCCACTGCACTCCAGTCTGGGCACTCTAACTCAAAAAAAAAAAAATTTGTTTTGGAAATGCATAATTTTATATTTTTGCAAGTGTAGAATATATACTCATTTGTTCCACGGTACAAAAATAATAAAGTCTTTTTGACATAACAATCATTCTACATTAAAAATACAAATTAAAACAGTAATTTCTGAACCTTCTAAGATCTGACCCTCTCCTAAGAAAAATACACATAGATACAGTGAACATAAAATCATGCATATACTTGTAAGATGATTTACAAATCTTAAGTTCTTTCATGAAATGCATTTAATAACATTTAATAAATGTTTCTAAGTATGTCAGCTAGTTTAAAACAATTGTACAACACATTTTTTTTAATACAGGGTTTTACTCTGTCACCCAGAATGGAATGCAATGGCATGATCAAGACTCACTATAGCCTCCTGGACTCAGGCGATCTTTCTACGTCAGCCTCCCAAGATGGGACTACAGACACAAGCCGCATGCCCAGCTAATTTTTCCATTTTTTGTAGAGATGGGAGTCTCGCTTTGTTGCACAGACTGGTCTCAAGCATCTGGCCTCAAGCAATCCTCACCTAGGCCTCCCTAAGTACTGAGATTATAGGCATGGGCCTATACCTATATGAAAATACACCTGCTGGGCTCGGTGGCTCAGCCTGTAATCCCGCGCCTTTAGGAGGCTGAGGTGAGTGGATTGCCTGAGCCCGTGGGCTCGAGACCCGCCTGGGCAACTTG